TAATAATTTTAAATTTTTAAAAAAGTAGATCATTATTATATTTGGACTATTAAGCAGGCAAATTTGCCTGCTACAGTCTACAGATTAAGGGATATTACAATAAAATAAATTATAAAAAAATTTAATTAATATTAATTTTAAATTAAATCTGGATAATTAATAATAATTTAGCTTGAATTAATTTAATGTTATTTAAAGTAAGAATATAAAAAAGAATTATTAATAAATGTTTTTAAACACATTTAGCATAATGATTATATTGAATATTATTTAAAATTTGTATTTGAAAATTGAAATAAAGAATATTCAAAACACTATAAAAAATATAACAAAGTTAATTTATTTTTTAACAATTTCTGCAAATTCTTAATAAAAAAGAATCAATAATTAAGAATTATGCAAAACTGCAATATTACTGAACATACCAAGTTAAAAAAACTTATCTTAATGCATACTTTAATGCAATATTATACTGATTAGATAAAAATAATACTGTTATCATAACTAACTATAAAATAAAAATTTTGTTACAATTAGTATAAGAAGTTAAATCAGATTTTTTTTTAAAAAAAGAATATATATTACATATATTACTAGTATATACAAAAAAATTTAATAATTCTGCTTTATTAAATATTGAAATTTTAGATTATTAGTTAGTTAATTCAACACAAAATATATAATTTACTGCATCTTCTTTTGATGCTTTGTTTTCTATAATAGAAAAAAAAGCTTATTAAATAGAAATTCTATTTGACAATAGTTTACACTACTATAATAAAGAACTAATAATGATTATTAACTAATAGTTCAAGTGATATAATATAAAAGTAAAATTGTAGATTTTTTTAGAATCTGGTAAAGTTAAAACAACAGTAGATTCTTATTATATACAGATAATAATTAGCAAATTAATAAAAAATTTTTTTAGAAAAGCAATTATTATATAATTTTACAGATCATATAATAATAGTAAATTGCCAAATAACTTATTTTTGATTGCTATTTTATATACTCTATATTTTAACTAATAGATTGCACATTCTATAAAACATTATATTTATCTTAAATATAATATTCAAAATAGAGATAATATAGTAAATGCAATTAAGAATATAAAAGAAATGTCAGTAAACAATTAAAAAAAGCAAAAAAGATAATATCTATCTTAAGGTCATTACTAATTAATCACATTTTGTTTAGCCAACAAGTAATGAATTATTTGACTATATTTTTTATTTAATTTTGATTTTTAAAATACTTTTTTACTTATTAATATTAAAAAAACTATGAAAGATTATAAATTTACAAAACCAGAATCAAAAATTTCAAATTGTACTATATCAAATTCTGAATATAATGTTCTATTACTTAGTAATAAAGATATATAAAACTAAAGGTCTATATTGAAATGTTTATAACAAAAATAAAGATTAAAACTATATAATATATACAGTTCTGTTTATTATAGATGTTTTTATATTTATCTTGCTTACTTTTAACTTTATTTTTTTTTTTTGCTTATGCTAAGACTATAGTTATCAGCAGCTAATACATTTATTATATTTTAATTATGATTATATAACTTGTACAAAATAAGTATACAACTAACCATACATACAACTTTTGGTTGTCTATTTTAAGTAGTTCATCTATACAACAGGTTCTACACTAGCTGCCATATCTGCAATTTACTAGAAGATTAGCTATTTAAACACTCTGATTCTTATACTTATACTAACAAATAGCATACAAGTTCTTATACATCTAAGTGTTATCTAACCTAATCATGACCTTCTGTCTGTATATCTGTTAAATCATTATACATTTCAGAGTATGTTATCTAACTGTAGAGCTCAGAGAGCCTCTCTACTAACTAACTATTTACATTTAGTCACTTGTTAATGAAGCTCATCTTTGCAAAGTTTATTCAGATCTTAGTACCAACTTTATAGCATATTCTTAGTACTTATAGTAACTTTTGTTTCTGATCTCAGACTCTTAATTTAAATAACTTGATAGGACTATAATCTGTCTCTAATACTTTAAAGTTTGCCCTTAAGGTTTTTTTTCTTTAGTTTAAGATTTTTAGCAACCTTGTTGGTAGTACCTTTTATTCAAGGCTCTTGCTTATCTGATTTCTTTTATATTGGTATCTATTTTTTAGGTCTAGCCTTTATAGTAATATTATTAAAGATCTGTACTACCTTTCTACTCAAGTCTTCTCAAGTGAATTCCAGTTTTCTAGTTTATAGGTTTACATAGCCATAAGAACTTATCTTGGGTTTGCATTATCTGATACCAGTTTGCATTTCTCTATATAACTATAACATTGCACAGATGCTCTATAACTTGCTAGTTATCTGATATGACATATTATAGATACTAATTCAAACTGATTGATAAAGTGTCATTATTGTAATACTGTTTACCTTTTATAATACCAATATAATATAGTTGATTTTTCAAATTTTTGTCATTAGTAGGTTTTGAACTTCCAATCTACTATTTGAAAGGTTGACAATTTAATCACTTCACTAAGTCGTCATATTTCTGTTTATTTCTAAATTTAGTTTTATATTTTTAGTATCAGATCCAAATTGATGATCCAAAATAGCTATCAAATCAGAATTAAAAAAATAAAAAATTGATTACAAAAATAAAGAAAATAAATGTGAATTAGTAACTGTATTAGAAAAAATATTGAAAAGAAAATATAAAGAAAAATAAAAAGTATATATACTAATACTTATTTTTCATTTTTATTTTTTTATTTTTTTATTTTTTTTAAGATAACTTCTTTGGTCTTTTGACTTTTATTAATCACTTATCAGTATTGTGATTCAATAAACCACTACAGAAGAGCATACAATTGGTTACATATATAACTTTTCTATATTACCTATTTAAGGAGTTAGCCCAAAGGTTCCTTACCAATTGTTATATCTAACACTTCTGCTTGGATGTTTTACTTTAAATTCTCTGAACTTGTAACTTGTATTAATATCACTGAATCATATCCAGATATTCAGATCATCATCTCAAGCTTAGGACTATTTATTCTTAAGATAAACCTCTCAGAGCCTTCTGTACCTATTTTTATATTTGATCTAGGTATCACTATAACAAAACTAACACTTGTAGTTAGGACTAATTATTAAACCACTATGTCCTTGTAAAGTTCACTTAGACTCTAGTATCTACTTCACAACATAACTTCAGTACTTTAGTATATCTCTACTTTTTCATCTGCCTTTTTATCAAATTCCCAATCCAGATAGTCTATGTAAAACTATAACTAGTCTATTGGTATATCAGATCAACCCAATATTCTTTTCCTCTGGTTCATTTTAACAGCTTGGTTAGTGATACTCTTGAAACTCCTAATTTGGAGGTTCTTGTCTATCTAACTATTATGACTAGGTATTATGACCTTGGTATTTGTTTTTTCAATCTAATCTTTACAATAAGACCATCAAAGATCTAACTACCTTTTTATTTAGGTTTTTCTAAATAGACTTCTTGTTATCTAATTTCAACAGATTTACATAACTACAAGGACTTATCTAGTGTTTGTATTGTCTGATTTGTTAGTTTGCATTCCTTTGTATAATGCTATACTTACACAGATGTCCCATAACCTGCTAGTCATGCTGGTGTAACTACCATTACTAATGTCCTAATCCAATCATTAGTAATAGTTGCTATAATACGAATATTACATAGGTGATTACCAAATTTTCACCGTCAATAGAATTTGAACATCAACTTACCACTTGAGAAGTTGACAACCTGACCACTTTACTAAGTCACCACACTTTTAATTTTTAATTTTTATTCATATTATTAACAAATATTATATAGAAATTTGATTACAAGACAGAAATAATATTTCATCAAATGATATTCTGTTCACTTTAACAAATATATTTACATCAAAATTAAAAAAAAAATCAAGTAGTACATTCAAAAAATGATTTGAAAAAAATTGAATTGAAGTAAATAAATACTATTTATATTTAGCTATAAGTATATAAAAATACTAATAATTTACTATTTTTTTAGATCAAATTATTTTGATTTAAGATAAGCATTTCGAGAACATCAAAAATATGATAAACGTGATGAAGAAAAACATATGACTAAACGAGTCAACAATATCTTAAAACCTACTTTTTGTTAGGCAATATGAACAAGAAAAATCGATTTACTGCTTCTATAATGCTTGAAGAATTGCAAAAAAAAGAAATAGGTGAATTAGAAACAAGTGAAATACCAAAAATAAAAACAGTAGAAAATTGGATAACGCGATATAATTAAGAGCATAAAAAGGAATCAGCAATGAAAAAGTTATGTATTCCAGTAAAAAATGAATAGAATAGCATAATATAATATTTGCTTATACTGTATTTTATGAGCTATAGTATTTCTTCATTTAAAAGCATCCTTTTATTGAAATTTTTGCTCAATAAAGTATTCCGATTTGAAAAATCGTTATATAGTATATAATAACCTGAATTTGTACATAGAATATATTGAACTAGGGGTGTTAAATTTTATGAAACGCATTAGTATTTTTGTTCTTTATATTAATATAAGTACATTGAATTATATGACTTTCATAAACAAACTTGATGTATTTATTTTATCATTACACGAGCCAAACATGGTATTGTTCATAAGATGCACCCCGCCGATCATTAATCAAATCCTTACGGATTACGAATTAAGCTTATATTCAAAGTTACACGAGCCAATCATCCAATCGAATTAAAGCGCATAATGTTTATTTTATATCTACTCAAACTTGTTACTACGTTGTATTTCTCGTAAAATGCGGCCCCAACCACCGGCTTTCACTGTGAGTTCACTTTCTGTTTAAAGACTCTAATTTGTCAAATTTTTCATTAATGCAAAGTTTGGTTTTTACAAAAGGACGTTACCAAAGAAAATATTTCTTCACTTGAACATATCATCAAAAACGCTTTAAATCGAGCAAGTTTCATCGCGTTAGATACTGAATTCACAGGTCTTGGTGGTAAGGAGGCAAATACCCGAGCACCGTAAGTAGTTTTCTCCAATTAAATTTGTTGAACATTCACCTAATGAATTGCTATATATGTTTTGTTCTTTTGATAAAGAAATATTGAAGAAAGATATATCAACTTATGTAAAGTTGTTAAAGCTCATGCCGTGGTGGCTTTTGGACTTACAGTATTCGAAGACATAGCTTCCGGACAGGAGACTTCTCAAATATATGAGAAGCAATACGATGTATATAACTTTAATTTTACATTATGTAGTCAAGTAAGTGTATCGAATTTGATTTCGAATTTAAAATTATATCGTGCTAAAAATTTGTATTTGTTTTTGATAAATCAGGTGGATCATATGATGAGTCCTCGAAGTTTGCAATTCTTATCTGATTGCGGGTTCGATTTCAATAAACAAATCCGCAAAGGAATCCCTTACACACCTGGACACGATCCGGTTAGAGTCGTTATTATGTAACCATTGTTTAACCTATATTTATTATTTATTTTTTGATTCTAGACATCAACTTGCTCCAATGACCTGAATGCAATAATGCGCTCCATATTTTCCCACATCCTAACGCGGAACGTTCCGATAGTTGTCCATAACGGGTTTCTCGATTTGATTTATATTTATTATTCATTTTATACGGAATTACCGGAAAAACTCAGTACTTTTGTTGCAGATTTAGTTGAAATGTTTCCTGCTGGCATAGTGGATACAAAATATATAGCAGATTATGTTACTAGAGAAAAAAGTAGCTTTTTGGCTTACTTATTCAGGAAGTATGTAATATTATTCATCATTAATTAATATCATTTCCCATCACAAAAACAAATCTTATTTAACGTTAATGCATTTAAGGTATGAACGAGAACAAGTGGATCGCAAAAACTCTGGTGATAAAACCTATTTATTGATACGAATTCAAGAAGGTCGTGACAGCACTCAACGGACGAATATGGATATTCGCGAAAAAACTCATACTGATGTAAAATCTCCTAAGCGATCTCTTGAACAACGGTATTGCGAACAGTATGCTGTAAGTGACCTTTACTTATTTGTTTTATTTTTTATGTATGGCATCAATTGTAATAATCCTATTATTTTAATTTTCACAGTTGCACGGATTTTGTTCTCAACGAATGAGATGCGGAAATTCGCACGATTTAGATTTTATACTGGATGAGCAAGCAAAGGAAGCTGACTCAAAGCATAAACGTCGTAAAGGCGGAAAAATTCAGCCAGAAGGAATAAGACAAATTCATATAAACGAAGAATGTTCTGATAATTCAATAGAGCATGTATCAGCTTCGATGCCACCAACTGTTATACCATCCACAAAACCTGATCAATATGACAACTATCATTCCGCTCATTTTGATGCTTACATGACGGGTTTCGTTTTCGCTAGGCAGTTGATGAAATACACCAGTACCACCGTTATGAATGAATATAAGAATAAGTTATATCTTATAGCCAAAAATTTACCACTGTTGATTGAAAAAAGTAAATTTAGTAAGACAAGCGTCGGTCATCAAGAGAAGCAAAAATCTTTATGAAAATATTTATTATTTCATTCATATCCTATTATTTCATAATATATAATTGAATGGACTTTATTGAGTGTAATCTTTCTAGACAAAGTGGAACGATAGTTTTCCATGTATATATTTAGCAATCAATCATGAGCATTTCAATTTGGTCTTCCAAGAATCCACTAAATGTTTTGAAATGATGATTTAAAGCTTGGTGAGTATGGATTTTGTAGCATGATCCTAAACCTCCCGATACATTATTAGATCGTCCATAGAATACGCGACCAATTCTTGAATGTACAAGAGCCATCGAGCATCTATAAAAACAAATTCAAATCAGTGAGTTTAATAAATAAATATTAATGATTTTTCTTTTATTGAATGAATATAATTAACCAACTTAATGTTATACGTAATGTAGTTATGCTTACGTGATACAAGGTTCATGAGTAACAAATAGATCATATCCTTTACATAAATAAGCTCCTATACTACTTTCTCTGTTTTCAAAAGTGATCGAGCCTGGTTCCGAAGATGTATCACTTGAAAATGCAAATTGATCCTCCGATTTATCAGATTTTCGCTTTTTTGGTATTAGGGAATCAATATTTATAGTCTTCAATTTTGTTCTCTCAAATAACGCTGCTTGATTTATACAGTTTAGAATAGCATGCCTAAATGGATGGTTTGAAGATGTTCTTGTGTCATGTGATTCGTACATTATTTCGATTCTTCTCGGATCTATCATTACACAACCCACTGGTATCTTTAAACAATAAGGACATGTGATAAAATTGAATTATTTTGCATGTTTACGGGGCAATTCCAAAATACCGGGTCGGAATTCATCATATCTGGCCGGTATTTAGCAATACTACCTTCATAGGCAGAAGTTCGTCTGATTGGCTAATAAATTCAATTTAATTTTACATTGTTTATACAATTTAGAATACTTTTTTAAAAAAACGAAACCCAACCATAATCAAGTAAAAAAAGCTATATAGAAGGTTTCATTGGAGCTGTAGGACTTCATAGTCAAAAGATCTAATTCTCGTTCGTTTAAAAAAAATAGCTTTGTAATAAGTTGATTTGTATCGGGTTTTGAGAAGTTATTATTATACTAACTTTTTTAAACAGACGAGAATTAGATCTTATTTTTGGCAATGGAGTCCTACAGCTCAAACGATACCTTCTATACAACTTTTTTTTATTTCATTTATGATTAGTTTTTGTAATTTTTAAAAGTACTCTAAACTGTATAAATAATGTAAAATTAAATTGAATTTATTAGCCAGTCAGACAAACTTCTGCCTATGAATGCAAAATTATTATCACTATACAGTTACTAAATTCCGATCCTCTAGATCTCGATTCTGATGTATTCTGATCAGGCATTTTTGTGATCTTGCTGTATGTTTCGTTTTTACGGCAAAACCTATACCTCTCCTTTAGATCTTGCAATATCTGCTAATTGAATTGCTCTGATCATGTGATATCTTAAAATTTCTATTTCTTCGGAAGAAAATCTGGAACCCCTATAATTAATATTTATATCTTTAGTCATTAGTCGTATAAACCTTCGGATAAAAATAATTAACTATGCAAACCTCCTGGGATCCTCGCGGAAATTAATTGGCCATAACCGATTCCACTCTTCAAACTGAGCTCGTGTTATTGGTGGGTATTTAGAAATTTGATGAACACGAAGTGACAAAATCGATTCAAGGTCATGTTGTTTGATCAATAATTTCAGATCATCGAGCGTTATTGAGGCGGTTAAACATATAAGTACATTTAGAATAAAGCCTTTATTCACCCCATATAAAAGAATGCACTATATGATTTATTTAAACCATTAACTTTAAAAAACAGTTAAATTAATTAAATAATAATTACCTTGGTCATGAGATACTTTTCTTATTCGTTTGACATGATCCAGAATTTCGGATTGTGGGCAATGAGTTTGAACGAATCTAGACGTTTTCAAACATGAACATTATAATCATAAAAAAAAATAAAATAAAATAAAAAAATCGATTCTTTACCTTAATATTCGTCCTGTTTCTTTGGGCTCCACGTCAGATATGTATACATCAACTTTGTTTAATTAAAAGGCATTAAGTTATTACATAAAGCATAATTTAGTATAGTTGTAAAGAGTACCAGTCTGTAATCTTCTTTCTTCTTCGTCCGATGGCACCTTTCGGAAAGGTAGGATTATAACTGAATTGTTCATGACAAAACCTAAATAGTTACACTAAAATATCCGTCTTGATAGATGTACGTACGATTAAAAATTATGCAGAATGACTTTTAAAAAAGTAAATTGTTACCCGAACTTCCAATCAAAATTTAAATAAGTAACGGTAAATATCATACGTATTATCATGCGTTGTGTGAACTGGTGAGCCGGCTTGCTATAACCCGGTTCCAAACTCTACTTATAATCATGTGATCTTTACGCGTTGATTTTCGCGTGCAGGTAAATGTTATTTGTTATGTATATTAGTAACGTATGGATTTCTCTTAAACTTTTTTTTTCTATCCCATAAAATATAAAGAAAATGACGGAATTTTTCAATTTACATGAGGAACTCTTGAAGTTGCAAGATGCAAATTATTTTTTTCCGAACGAAATATCTGTAAGAGAATTGGAAGCGCTGGAGCTTGATAAAATGCTGAATGGTAATTCGGTACATTTAGAATTAACAACAAAATATTCGGAAGTCTACAAACTATTTTTTTTTTCTTCAGATACTACTGACAGGATAAGCGAGAATTCTTTATCAATAATAATAAATGCCGAACTTTTCGATATTCTTCGTAGTTTCGTAAAGTGAGTACATTTTCACTTATTTATCCAACCAATTTTACATACAAGTTGAATAACAATGTCATTCCAATTCATAATCAAACTTTTTGTAGAAACTTTAATGATTTAAAATCAACTACGATGAATCGCGTCCTTGATATCATTCTATCTGGTAAACTTAAGATATATATATATTTATTCGAATCTGTAATACAATTTAAATTTGCTTATGATTATATGTTTAGGTTTTAAAGCTGAGTATGAAGCCACGTCAAATGACTTGAACGAAGATGAAGAAGAAACTTTTAGTGAACATAGAATTGCGTTGGAAATGTACGGATTTTTATTGTTATGGCTGATTTCCAACGCAGAAAACAAAGCTGACTCCAAGAGTGGTGCAAATGGAACTGTAGTAGCGACTGGCGGAAGGACCAGGGTAACGGCTAACTTTCAAATATAACTTTAGTAAGAAGTAAACTATATAAATAAGCGCTCATTTCTTATCTTTACATTATGATAAATAGCGCCAGAGACAAACAAAATCGAAATCTTCTTCATCTTCGACGGATAATTCGTCAGATGAATGGGATTGGTCAGCTCAGAAACTAATTGCATTGAATTTGATGGTAAAGATACTAGGACTTAGACTTAAGAAAATTTGGACTTCAACACACGAAAAGGATACTTTCGTTAGGTAGTTTAGAGCGTTTTTGAAGTGGCAATATCATAATTTTATTAATGACAACATATAAATTTTTTCAGCTTATTTACCAAATCTGCATATCGGATATTAGAAAATGTAAATAATATAAAAGATCCTGCAATAAAGAGAGTCGTATATCAAATTCTTTCGACTTGCGTAAAAGACCATAATCATGCATTTGGTTAGTGTGGCGCGAGCAAAAAGAGTAATTCTTATTATTTGAGTTATTAATCACCACCATTTTCTTTTTAATAGGCGCCCAAACTTCCATAATTCAAAATTTACAATATTATGAGCACCTTTCAGAACCAATGGCTGAATTCCTTGACGTTCTCGCAAAGCAGTGCGATCACACGCAAATTGCAGAAGAAATTTTGATGTAGGAATTATCATAGGTTTGATCCATTTTAATGAGTAAATTTATTTGATAATTTATATAATAATATATTCTATTTTATTTTAGAGAAATATGCAATAAAGAGTTTGGAAATCAAGATACAACAGTTCCGAAATCTTTTTCAAGGTTTCTTGTTAAATTATCAGAGTTGGTTCCAAAAGTAGTTATGAAGCAGATTGGACTATTGGTTAAACATTTAGACAGCGAAGTAGTGTCGAAAATTTTTTAACGCTTTATAATGTCTTATGATTAAATGCTAAATGATAAAATTCCTATCCAGTGTCCTCCAATGCGAATGGGATTGATAGAAGTTCTCAGCAATCTTATAATCGATCTTGCAAACCAAGAAGATCAAGCATCGAATTACGTTTCACAAATAAATGGATTTTTCGATGCTTTGGAAGAGCGGTTCCTTGATGTGAATACCTTTTGTCGTTCAAAATTATTACAAGTTTATCTGAAGATAGTAGAGTAGGTTATATATACATAGTGAGATTTATAGTGCCATGTATAAAAATTTCAACGTATGTTTATTATTGTTGTATGATAGTTTGAAAGCAAAGTTTCCAAAGCGTAGACAAAAGCTCACCGATCTAGTTATTCGAGCATTGAAGGACAAGGGCTGCAATGTCCGGAAAAATGCCATCAAACTATTAACTAGGTTGATTGCTACGCACCCATATGGCGTAATTCATGGGGGTGAACTTTCAGTCAGAGAATGGGAAGATCGGTTAGAAAAAGTAGAAAATGAATTAAGGGTAATTTCTTTTGTGGCATAATATTAAAAATAAGCATAATACGAATCTAATGTTTCACTTTCGATATAAAAAGGCTATTCAACCTCCACAAGAGTTTACTGAAGTTGGGGCAGAAACTTCGACACCATTACTAAGTGATGACGATAGCCAAAGTGAAGATATGGATGTTGACATGCCTGATGTATTAATCAATCAAAATACATCGGCCACGTCGGCTACATCGGCTGATGAAATAATGAGGCTTCAACTCACAAGACGGTACTATGCAGATGCTGTTCGTTTCATACATCAAGTACATACTGCTATTCCAACTCTTTGTCAACTTCTTGGATCCACAACAAAATCAGAAGTACTTGAGGCAATGGAATTTTTTGTCACCGCATATACTTACAAGATGGAATTTGCAATAGAAGGGATTAAAAGAATGCTACATTTAATTTGGATAAAAGACAATAATGATGAGGGAAAGGGTATTCGGAACCGTCTAATCGATAGCTATTATAAATTATATATTGAAACGGACGTTTCGCTTTCCGATAAAGAGGCAGTTAATTTAGTGACTAGGAATTTAATAAGGTATTTAAGAATTTATTTAGAAATATAGTATCATTACAATCCTAGTTATAGGTATTCATATACATTTCATAATTTCTAGCTTGACTTATAATGCTACACTTGCTGAATTAACCTCGCTTGAACAACTTATGAGCACAATGATGGCTGAAGAATTAATAAGCGATAATGTTATAGCGAAATTGTGGTCGGTCTATTGTAAGAACGTTATATATACTATATAATTCGTTTTTTTATTAATTGTCATATTAGTGATAATCTATTATGACATTTAAGCTGTTTCGACGAAGCAAATTCCAAAAGTGCAGCGTCGCGGTGCCATTATTATACTCGGCATGTTTGCAAAAGCGAAAATGGAAATAGTTCAAGAAAAAACAGATCTATTGTTAAAAATTGGTCTTGGTCCTTTTGGTAAAGTGAGTATTTTCCAAAACGAATCATCTTAATGAGAATATGAATGCCGCTGAACGTTAACATTAAAATGTTAATATAGGCAGACTTATCTTTAGCAAAATATACTTGCATCGCTTTACAACGATTGGGTGGTAACAAGGCTAGAGTAAAAGGTATCATTTTCCTGAGAAGTTATGTACTTTATGATGTATAGTATGTCGTGTTGCTAAATAGCGTCAAGTTATAAACAAACTCCTTAACAGTTTATTGGGTTTATTGATTTTATAAGGCTCACTGAATAATGATTCTATTCGATTTCCGATGTCACATCCGATTTTTCATAGATTAAAACAAATGATCGAATTTCAGACATCTTCACAGGAATGGTAATTAAAATATGACATTTTAAATTTTATTTATTAATATTAATTTCATCTTACGTTCAGGTTTGCTGTTGCTGAACAAGCAATTAATACTATATACTTGCTTGGAGAGCACCCAGACATTTTATGCGCAGAAATTATTAAACATAAAACTGCATTTGTTTTCGATTTGAAAGTTCCCAAAGCTGATGATATGGATATTGACGGAGATAACTTTTTGCCAGATCAAGAACAGTTTATGACACATCCCCTTCAATTAAGTCAGTTGATATTCATAGTTGGCCATGTTGCCATCAAACATATTGTTCATTTAGAATTTATTGAGGATGAATGGAAACGACGGAAAGCTGAGGCTGAATCAAAAGGTATTAAAAACTTATATGAAAAATTACATTAAGAAGCCAAGCGTGTATTAGATGTTTTTATGCTGTTGTTAGATACTGAAAAGGCAGCAAAAAATCCCGGAGATGATGAATTGGAACAAGTAGCTGGCACAACAGAAGATGAATTCGGGGAAGCAATTGCTCATATTCGCGAAAAAGAATTGTTGTTTGGTGAAAATTCATTGTTAGTGGTATTCGGCCAGCTAATTAGCAACATATGTGCTAATAACAAGACCTATAATGTACTAAATTATTATTATTATTAAATTTATTTATTTATTTTGCTTATTCACTTATCTATTATTTATTATGTTAACATACAGAATCATACTTTACAAATATGTGCTACTTTAGCACTAGCAAAATTAATGTGCGTCAGCTCAGAATTCTGCGAGAATAATTTGCAGTTATTATTTACTATACTTGAGCGATCGAGCGAGCCCACAATTCGCAGTAACATAATCATTGCACTAGGAGATATGACTGTTTGTTTCAACAACATAATTGATGAAAACATCAATTATTTATACAAACGTCTTTCTGATCCAGATAATTTAGTTAAAAAAAATACATTAATGGTTTTAACCCATTTGATCCTTAACGGAATGATTAAGGTCAAAGGTCAATTGGGAGAGATGGCCAAATGTCTAGAAGATGAGGATCAAAGAATAAGTGATCTTGCTAGGTTATTTTTCACTGAGTTGGCATCCAAAGATAATGCAGTATACAATAATTTGCCAGACATTATTAGCAATCTCTCAAGCGGGGATAATCCTGTAAATGAAGAATCTTTCAAGAAAATTATGAAGTTTTTGTTTGAATTTATTGAAAAGGTGAGTGTATATTACAAGTGTTATAAATGAATCCTATATATTAATGCTATTATCGTTTAGGATAAGCATACTGAGAATGTTGTAGAAAAATTATGCCAAAGATTCAAAAACCTTGATGATCGACGTCAATGGCGCAACATTGCATATTGTTTATCATTGCTTCCTTATAAGAGTGAAAGGATTGTAAAGAGACTACTTGAAGGAATGTCACATTACCAAGATAAATTGCATGAGAATGATGTTCATAAAGCTTTTATGGATATTATCTCCAGAGTTAGTTTTTTTGCATACATATTTGTGTTGATATCTATGTATGTATGTATACTGATTTGAATTTAAATTGCTTTAGGTGAAGTTAATAAAGCCGCAAAAGCCTGAGATGAAACAACTGGTTGATGAACTTGAGTCAAAAATTGAAGAATTTAGACAGAGAAGTCAAGAATAAGGTTGCGCAGTGATGACAAATGAAGTCAAAAATTTTTATGAAAATGAGCATAAATGATGTCATTTTAAATTAACAATGTCACTTATAAAAAAATTGTACAAAAATCATGACAAAATGACAAGTCAAAAAATATTGTTATATAAATCAGTTAAATGCAAAGCATTGCAAATTTTTAATTTTGTGGGCTCTCAAATTTTATAAATTTTTTCAAAATTTTTAGTCCAGCTCGGCCTGCAATTGTAAAATTTTTTTTCAGGTCTGCCTAGGCCGCAGATATTTGCGGGCCAGGCCGAGCTGGGCTTTGGGACTAGTAAAGCGGTAGAATCGTCCCAATGATAGTCGTCACATTACTGTAACTTGCCGTAACTATAGCAAGTAATATAGTAAGTTACGGCTATAATGCGTAACTTACTATCAGTCGATCGAGATGTCACGCAGATTAGGTGAATAAATTTTTTACTATGAAATTTAACTCATACAGGAGGATCCCCAAAATTCCGGGTCGGAATACCTCGGATTTAGCCCGGCATTTAGTTAGCATTTAGTAATACAAGTTAACCACTTTGGGCCAAAATTATCGGCTGGGCAGCTTTACTTAATGAGTGAGCTATGGTTTCATTAGTAAAACTTTTAGTGATCTTGGTCAAAATTAGTTAATTCCGGCCCTGCCGATCATGATTCCGATGTATTCCGACCCGGAATTTTGAGGATCCCCCTGTATGAGTTATGAAATTTGAGTGATCGACACTCATATGAAATTTTCGATTTTCGTAGTAAATTGTAACGGTAGGACATTTTCAATCGTTGTTTTCAAGGGCTTCATAAAAGGCAATTGCACTCACGAGATATAGTGCAATGACTCAGAAAATTAAATACAACGTTGTGGTTAAAGTTTAAATAAGATAAAAAATTAAATCAAAAAGAATCTTGCTTCTAAAGATAAGTTTTTGTTTTATATTTTATAGTACCAGTGGTATAATAAAGCTTTACATTTTATGATTTATGAAGGTTTTTTATGTAATATAAGTATTTTTAACAAATTTTGAAAGTTTTTTAACAAAATGAATGAAGTACTAAAATATTGTAATTTTGTAGTATTGTTTTATTGTCAAAAACAAATTATGAATTAAATCAAAAATTTGAGTAAAAATAAAATGATTACTGTAATAAAAACTTATAATTGAGAATAGTTAACAAACATGTATTTATTAATTGAACTAATAAAAAGGCATACACAGTATATAAGTTTTATATTTTTATTATTTATAGTTATATATAATACAAAAAATTTAAATATTATATATTATTCTCTATTACTTAAACTATTTCATTTGCATATTTTTTTTTTTTTTTTTTTTTTTTTTTTTAACTTTAAGTAGTTATGCTAGTACTTTATTAAGATTTTTGAAACTATATATATTTATAATTACATAGAATTTTCCAATACCTAAGTCTAGCATCACTCAGCTACCCTATTGGTACCTAAGTGCAACCTGTTACACTATCTCAGTTAGAGATAGACTGCTTGTCTAACTACTTAAAGCCATACCAGAAGGGTCTTCTCCCTTTTGTGACAAGTGTATCAATTGTTTTTCAAGCTTCCTTCTTCGTTCAGTTTATTTTTTCTATTTTTTTTTTTTTTCTCTTCTTTTGTCGATTCATCTTTCTTTGTTTTTTTTCCTAACTTTCTTCTAATTTGAGCATCTTTTTTCATTTTGCTTGTTATATTTATCTTCTTTTTCCATTCTTGTACTTTCCCACATCGAACTCTTCATACTTGGTCATAAAATGTATTCTATACTGTTCTTGTTATTATTCCTATACATTTCTGTGTTGTCTGTTTATTTAACATCTGACTGATCTTTTTTTCTATTTTGTTCGTAGTTAATCCTTTTATTAGTACTCTTTTGTTATAATTTTTTTTGTTTTTGTTTTTTCAAAAATTGCTTTATATAGCATTTGAGGTGAAATTTTAGTTTTTTCATTCTCTTTAATACTATTCCATGCTATTGCTATTACTACCTTTTAAATTCTCTTCTACAGGCACTTTTGTTCACTGCAGCTTGCCAAATATGCTTGAGTTTCCTTTTTGTCTGTTTGACATACTTGACAGTTTGAAGATGTATATATTTCTGGTCTTTTTCTGTTTAGTTCTTCTAGTATTAGTAGGTCATTCATTATACATTTGATCGCTATTGCTTTTCTTGTACTAAGTTTTCTTGTCATGCAGTGTATGCCTTTCATTATATTTATCTCTTTCCAAAAGCTTGATCAATTATATTGAGTGTTCTCTGTTTCAGGTTCTAATGTTCGAATCAGATTCATATCTCTTTAGCTGACTCCTACTTTGGCATTCATAACTATTTTGCAAAGAAGTTGTGTTGGTATATTAACTTTTTTATTTTTCCATTCTAAATGGTACTCTATTCTGTTACACTTAATCTTCTTTATAGATATTGTTATTTTACATACTGCTCTTTTCTTTGCGAGTGCATCTGTTCTGTTATTTTACTTATTATTGCTGTAACTCTTAACTTTAATTAGCTTGATTCTGCTACTTTTGCTTTTGATTAAATCTACAATATTCATTATCTACATTATATTTTTCTTTTTAAGAATTTTGTCATCTTCTGACCTTTAGATTGCTCTGTTAATATTCCTTAGTACTGTAAGACTGTCTGTATATACTTCTATATTTTTTCTTTCTGAAACTGTCAAAATTGTTGACTATATTGCTGCAAATTCTACTGTTGTTGCTAAAGACCAGCTCTTAAGACCTAATGCAGTTTCTTCTTCTGGCCAGTTTCCTTCTTCGTTGATCTGTACCCAGCCTATGCCCATCTTTTTTATACTATTCACTCTTCTCTCTTTATATAATGCTTAATTTGTATAAAAGATATACTTGTCTTTATTTCTCATTTTGTTTCTTTTAGGACTTCTGTTAAGTAAGCTGTAATTTCACTATCTAATCTCTGTTTTTTGATCATTTCTATTTCAAGTTCTTCTATTTGTTTTAGGCTGATTAGACTTCTTTCTTCCTCTTTTCATTTTTTTATTGTTCTGTTCTTTAGTATCTGTTCTAATGTTGTATTTATTTTATTATTGCCTTTTTCTACTAGTGATTCTGGAACTACCTTTGTATTATTGTTCCATCTTATGCATCTTACATAATTATCTGTTAGTTGTTCTATACTGTTTTCATATCCTTTGCATTTACTTATTTCTGTATATGTCTTTCCTTCTATTTTCTGTAAAAGCCAGTGTTTTGCTAAAATCTTTTTCTTTTTCTTTTTTGATATCTTGCTGAGTTGTTGATTGTGTTTCAACCCATGTATAATTCATTCTTTTTTCTTTTGTCTTCAGATATCTTTGTCCAATTAATCATTAATACTTGAGTATTGTAGTCATTAATTTTATATTGATCATGCATTTCTCTGCTTGTCAGCATTATTAACATCTTTTCTTCTATTTCATTAAACCATTTAGCTTTTTTCCTTTGCATAACAGTTCTTGAAAACTTTTGAGCTGTCTCTATGTAATTAGACTTTCTCCTTTTATGTCTATGAGTTGGTTCAAGTATAGTAGATCCTATTTGTTTATTATATTGCTAATTGTTATCCAAGACTTGAGTTTAACTAGGTCTCTTATTCTTGTCCCATAGTCGTATATTTTTTAAAGACAGTTTTCTGCTCTGATATTTATTCCTATTTTTTTTGCCTTGACTATTGTTTGACAAGCTAAGTTGTGTTTTCAATACTTTGTTTCTTCTAGTCTTCTTTCAAACTTCCAAATGTCTTTTATTAAGCCTGCTTTCTGGTATCCTTGTACTATTTTAAGCTTTGTTAGGTCACCTAAAGAGTCTTTTCTATTAAGTCTTGCAAGTAAACTACTTATTTGCTTTGTTGCTATTTCTTGGCTTAATGATTTGCAGTTCCCTAAATCTTTGTGCTCAATTGTGTAGTTGCTTGTAGTTTTCATCATGTTGCACTTATGTTTGGCTAGACACTTTATCGGTTGTTGTATTCTATCATTTATTTTTTCTGACATCTTTGTCAATTGCAAAAGGTATCCTAGCTTTGGAATTATTACTGTATTGTTTATATATGCAATTTGGCTCTTTGTTATTTTTTTATATCTGAGATCTTTAACTGTTTACCTAACTATTCCTTTTGCTTTTTTGTAGACTAGTGATTCTCTTATTCTGCTGTTTAGCCAAATCTCTAATGATCTTACAATCTTGTTTTTTGGTTCTTCTGTTATTCTACTCTGTTTAAATATAATTTCTCTATTTTCTTTTTTCTGTCTCGAATTTATTACTATAAGTTTTGACTTTGCTCCATTTATTTCAATATCATTTGCTTTAAAGAACTCATCTGCAATTTCAAGAATTTTCAACAATTGTTCCTTGCTTTTTGCAATTCATGTAGTATCATCAGCATAAGCAATTGCTGCTTGTCTGTATTTTATAATACAGTTAATGTCTGTGTTGTTTGATGTTTCTTGTTCAACTGTGTATTTTAATGATTCATTTTTTTGAATTCTCTCCAACAAGGGATCATAAAATAGCCACCAAATTAGTGAAGAAATTACTTCTCCTTGATCTATACCATCTTCTGCTGTTATTTTTTCTATTAGACCATAAGCTGTAATTACTTTAAGTTGTCATTTACAAAAAAGGTTGATAATATATTTTATTGTTTTTTGTGATATTTTGACTCTTTTGAAAGCCTACTCTAGGCTCTCTAGTGGAACTGAGTCAAATGCCTTCTTTATGTCTTGCAAAAGTATTTATGTTTCTTTATTTTTTTCTTATACTTTTTTTATTATCATATTTAGTATATGTATTTGTTGCTCTGTTGAATCATCAGGCAAGCCTGTGTAGTTTGGCTCTTTGAGTATTTGTCTCTCTGTAAATATCTTGACCAACCTTTTTGTTACTACCTTTGTAACTAATTTCCTGAAAGTTTCAATTAGTGCTATTGGTCTAATATTGTTTAGAT